GTATTATTATTATTTTTGCCTACTACATAAACAGAAATTGTTTAAAATAATATTTTTTGTTTTTCATTATTATTAACCAACTCATTAGGACTTTTAAGTTTTATCCCACCACAAATTCTTCTTGCCCTTTTTTTTTAAAAAAATAATATTTTTGTGTGTATTGTTTTTTGTAACTATTACTTTTCCTAGAAATAATTACCTAATTAAGTAATTTTTGTGCAGTGGAGACTGGTGAAAAGGAGAATTAGGAAAAATAAATATAAAAACAACAGAAATAATAAAACAAAAATAAAAAAATTGGACAAAACATGTAGTAAGAAAAAAAATAATGAAAAATCCTATTGTGTTACTAATATTTATTCATTTAGACCCCGGAATTCTTTAAAATAAAAAATTATGTTAAATTTTATCCCATAAGTTTTTCTTTGGGTTTTTTTTTCACAAAAAATAACAAATTATCTTTTGCAACGTTTACTTCCTTCAAAACTATACAGGCTGCGTCAAAACTCGCGCCCTAGAGAAAAAAATTAAGTAAGATAAGATACAAGGAAAAATGTTTACTGGCAAAAAATTTGACATTTATTTTTTGAAAATTGACATATTTTTGTCTATTTAATGACAGTATCATCATCATAGATCAACAGTTGATGATCTTTTATATGTTTTTTTTTTATAATTATTTAGTAAAAGTACAAAAATTTTGCCTATAAAAGCCACAAATAACATTATTAACAGAGTTACAATTTAAAATACAGCTTCCTTGTTTCCTCTTCTAATAGCCTGTAGCAAAAAAACTTAAAAAATTATTTTTCCAAAAAAAAAAAAAATAAAATCAAAGTGCAAAATTTAAACTCTCATAACTTCGAAATTTTTATGGATAGAATTTTTAACATTTTTTCCATACGTACTTTACATAGCATTTTTCTCTGGGGCGCGAGTTCTGGCGCATCCTATATAACATGCAATAAATTGGAGTCGTAAGATTTTGTAAAACTGGAGGTAAACACCACAATTTCAATTATCTTATTTATAAAATTTCCAAAAAAATTCAAATAAAAGTTTGACGAAAGCATTTTTAAAAGTCAAGATTCGTCTAAAAATGTTTAAAAAAAATGTAATTTTTGATAAAATTAAAAATTCTAGTCACAATAAATTTCCCAATTTCTTGGCAAATATGACCGACATCTATCCTTTTATTTTTTAACATAGAAAAATGCAAAATCGAACAAATTTCATTTCAAAATATTAAATAAAAAACATAGCGGAACCGACAGAGATAAAAATGATATAAAATGCAAAAAATTGGGACATAACTTTAAAATTTAATTTTGTTTTTAACAAACTAGACTTGACCCAGGGTCACGGGTCAGTTATTCCGGAAAGCGCACAAATTATAAATTCACAAATTTGAAATTTAATTGCTCTACGGTAAGAAAAAAATTAATTTAGTAAGTAATGAGTAATCAGAGTAATGACATAGTTACTACGGATGTTAGTGTCGGTCTATTTATTCCCATCTCTCAAATGCCAGATAGTAAAAAAACGATCAAATGTTTTACCTACATTTGAGCCAGTTTACCAGAAGTTCCGTATTTTTCCCTTGCTTTCACTGTCTGTCTATCAGAAATTTTTATCAAGCAATTGGGTCAATAGTAACAGAGTTCTCTTTTGATTCGATTTTTTGCTCATTTTCGTTTTTATTTATTACTTTCACACATCAATCATCGTAAATAAAACTCAGTGTAAAACAAATAATTTATTAAAAAGAAAAACGGAAATAAATAATTAAATAGAATAAATAAAAACAGAACGGAAAACAATTAGATTATCCTCCCTGCTCACTGAGGGGGTTTGTAATCGTCTTGCAGTCCTAGAGGTAGAGGCATATCAAAGCTTCTTCCATAGGAAGAGTGTCCATAGTGTCCATGGTCCTCATGGGACACCGAATGCGTGTTCGAGTGGGTGTAAATGGGCTTGGAGATGACCTCATAAGTGGTGGATTTGTGCCCATGATGGGTCAAGCTCTTCAACCCGATGATGGCCGACAAGAGCAGGGAGATAAGACCGGTCATGAGGGCCTTCCCGGCCACCGCCGCCAACCCCCCGAAGGCCAAGGCCATGAGCGTCCCCTTCATCATTGCACCCGCCGCCAGGATGTACTCCAACCCGCCGCCGCCCTTCT